AAAGAGAGGGATTATGGTGTCTGTGCTGCATCCTGAGCTCCTGAAAATCCTTAAGCCACACTTACATAGTGTAGGGAGATGCAGAATTTGGTCTCCGACATAGGCTGTTTTTCAGGTATCTGCGTGAAGTTAAGGGCCAGAGTCTGCCAGTCTTCAATACCCCTTAGGAACACATCAACTAGTTATAATCTGTTCACCAGTGAACTAGGTCTTCCTCTAGCAAAAGAAGTGATTCTGTTTTTTTTCCATTTTTGATGCAAACAATGCTGCCAACACCGCTGTGCCTTCTTGCATCTACACATTTTTGGGCACAACTTGCCATTGGGGACATACCACAGTGCTTAGAGCCACTCGCCTCTTTTAGATTATTTCTGAAATTAAAAATTCAGTTCAGGCAAGGAAAGGTTTGTGGTCTCAGCCAGTATATCTAAGAAACCAGCGTTAGGCAGAGAGCCTCTTAGGGTTAGAACAGAGATCAATGTCTGATATTTTTAGTTTGCTGTGAATATTAATCTACGGGGTACTGCTAAGAATATCCCTGCCTGCGCAGGGTAGGAATGCAAAGGGACTCTAATTTTGAGGACTCGCTTTCTGGTAGAAACAGAGAAGAGAGTCGTGGCTGCCGTGGCCGTCAGAAGCGGTAACAGAGTGTATCTCTGTGCTGTACAAGACACAGCACAAGGGGACATTCCTGGACTCCGGGCACTTTCTGGTGCATTGTATCAGCCGGCAGCTGCTCGATGCCACCATGTGTCAGCACCGATAGTACCTGCAGCGCCAGGAACGCGCCGCAGTTCACATGCCATCACCTGAGTCCTCCAGACACTACAATTCACGTTTTTCCCAAAAGGGATCTGCTGATTTTTTGACACAGGTTTCTCTAACTGTCAACTGAATGGCAGTTTAAAATATAGATGGGATTTGAATATTCATAAAGTGGCTTTGAGGAACAATCTCATTTCAAGGAATCATTTCACTACAGGCTTGCCGTTTGCTAAAATTTCTTACCAGGAAAGAATTTAGAAAACAAGGAAAATAGCATTTCACATGGTTAAAAGCAATGGCCATGGTGACGGATATAAACACTGCCATGTGACTGAGTTTTCCTATGCAGTATCTTCTTGCCTGCCCACATTAACAGATGGCCTACAAGTTTGCTGGAAATTTTCTTCTTTTTTGAGGGTGACTCAGGATCTTTGCCTGAAGCGGGGGTGGTAGTGTAAGAGAGGCAACATATAAACATGGTGTCACCTCTGAATCCATGGAGACAGACATCATCGAGAAACACTCCTACGCTGGATATGACTGTGCAAACCCCAAGAGCTTATACATGAAGAATCCTCCAGGGTTCACTGTTTGAAAATGCCACACCCAGGAGCTGTTGAAAAAGTGACGGATCCAGAGGTGGCTCCTGCTTCATAAGCTGCTCGTCCTCCCATGGACTCCCAGGCCTGACCTGGAGGAGCTGGGAAGGAGAAGGTAACCTTTCCCACCATTTATCATGGGCAGAGGAAAAGCTGGTATCAAAAGTCGTTAAAATCTCCAGTATTTGTCACCCTATTTCCACATATCCTGGTACCCATAGTAATGAAGAAGCCCATCCTCTCTGCTGCAGCTACTGTGCTGGGTTCCCCTGACCCATGCTTGGTCTCTGGAACTTCTCCATCCTGCTGAGGACAGGCAGCGGTGATGAGGAATGGTACAAGAAGTGCCAGTTCCAGCTCCCATTCCATTTCTCCTTTCTCTGTCACGCTAGAGAGAAATTTGCAGATGCCTCCTGTCTGAGCTCACAAGGAATCTGAATCCTTATGGCAAAGGAACTGCAGTGGCAAACGGCAGCCTTACATGGGGATACGGAAGGGCTACGTAGAAGGTGGAAATTCTTAGTAAGAAGTGCAATGAAAGGCATAATTTTCATTCTTCAGTATCGAAAGGCTAGGATTTAGGAAGCGAATGCAGTCCGTCCCCTGACTGTGGGTAGGATTCCTAGATTTCTGTATTCATGGACCACAGAAACCAAGTTGCAGAAATTTATGCTTTTCGACCAGACATTTTTTTCAGCAGG